CTAGGACCACTTGAGAGTCACTGGACCTCTTCGCACAAAAAATTTGCCATAGAGCTTGTACCTCCCGTTCCTTTACGATTTGTCAAAAAGGGGCCACAACATTTGTCATGAAATAGTCACCAGCACGGCTTGCAATAGCTTTTAGGGTGATTTTCACCAAAAGGGGTTTTGCATTTTCAACCCACGTGCACATTTTTTTCCCTTTAAATTTTTGAAGTAACACAATGGATTCCACAACTGGCATGGGCTCCGGGGTTACCCCAAACCCTTCAAAATCTTTTTTTAATTTTCCATACAATTCTCACCCTTTTTACCCAGGGATGGCACTAGAAGTTTTCTTGGGGCCCAGGGTGACTTATTTACAGAAACAACCCCAAACCAGTGATAAAGGGAAATTACCAAATGATCCTTAGATGCCCCAAAAACCTGGCTGGCTTGTAAACACTGGCACACACGGGGCTTTTGCCACCAGGACAGGTCCCCCCGTACGAATCGTATTGAATCCCGGGGTTTTCAATCGAATACCGAGGAAATTTTTTGCGATATAATGCTCGAATACCGGATTTATCGAATACCGATCCCATCAAATACCGGGGTCCACTGTAAATAAACATAATCTCCCTCACAGAATAAAAATTTATGAAATATGAAAATTGTTTACAAAATACTGTGTAGGAGTGTCGGGAAAAATTACGTTTTCTCTTCAAACACTGGGCAATAACTGTAAAAAAATTTTTTTTCATAGCCTTTTCTCTATATAACAATTCACAACCCATGTGGGGTTTAGTGCTTTTTTACAATAAAATAACAATATTAATAATAAAATAATAATAATAAAAAAAATAATAAAATAATAATAATAATAATAATAATAAAATAATAATAATAATAAAAAAAAAAATAATAATAATAAATTATTATATTATTATTATTAAAATTTTTATTATTTCTTTCCCCTCAAAAAAGGTGTGTTCTGTTTGTTTTTCTGAACTAACCCTGTACAACTGTACACAATGTAAAAGTATTTTTATTGTGAGGTAATTATTAAAAAAAGGGAATGGGATACAAGGAGAAAGAACATCAGGGAAAAGAGAGGTGAAGTTTTTAAACTAAAAGAGGAGGGAGTTTGCGAAAAAAAAACGCATTGGAGGATAGATGGGCTAATGAGAGCATAGGCAATGGGGTCGAAGAGGTATGGGGTAGGTTTAAAAATGTAGTGTTAGAGTGTTCAGCAGAAGTTTGTGGTTACAGGAAAGTGGGTGCAGGAGGGAAGAAGAGCGATTGGTGGAATGATGATGTAAAGAGAGTAGTAAGAAGAAAAAGTTAGCATATGAGAAGTTTTTACAAAGTAGAAGTGATGCAAGGAGGGAAGAGTATATGGAGAAAAGAGAGAGGTTAAGAGAGTGGTGAAGCAATGTAAAAAGAGAGCAAATGAGAGAGTGGTGAGATGTTATCAACAAATTTTGTTGAAAATAAGAAAAAGTTTTGGAGTGAGATTAACAAAAGTTAAGAAAGCCTAGAGAACAAATGGATTTGTCAGTTAAAAATAGGAGAGGAGAGTTATTAAATGGAGAGTTAGAGGTATTGGGAAGATGGAGGGAATATTTTGAGGAATTGTTAAATGTTGATGAAGATAGGGAAGCTGTGATTTCGTGTATAGGGCAAGGAGGAATAACACCTTGTAGGAGTGAGGAAGAGCCAGTTGTGAGTGTGGGGGAAGTTCGTGAGGCAGTAGGTAAAATGAAAGGGGGTAAGGCAGCCGGGATTGATGGGATAAAGATAGAAATGTTAAAAGCAGGTGGGGATATAGTTTTGGAGTGGTTGGTGCAATTATTTAACAAATGTATGGAAGAGGGTAAGGTACCTAGGGATTGGCAGAGAGCATGCATAGTTCCTTTGTATAAAGGCAAAGGGGACAAAAGAGAGTGCAAAAATTATATGGGGAGAAGTCTGTTGAGTATACCTGGTAAAGTATATGGTAGAGTTATTATTGAAAGAATTAAAAGTAAGACTGAGAATAGGATAGCAGATGAACAAGGAGGCTTTAGGAAAGGTAGGGGGTGTGTGGACCAGGTGTTTACAGTGAAACATATAAGTGAACAGTATTTAGATAAGGCTAAAGAGGTCTTTGTGGCATTTATGGATTTGGAAAAGGCGTATGACAGGGTGGATAGGGGGGCAATGTGGCAGATGTTGCAGGTGTAGGTGTAGGAGGTAGGTTACTGAAAGCAGTAAATTTTTTTACGAGGATAGTGAGGCTCAATTTAAGAGTACATGGAAAGAGGGAAATTATTTCCCAAAAAAAGGGCCTTTAAAAAGGGATGTGTGATTCACCGTGTTTTTAATATTTTTAATGAGGGGGGTTGTAAGAGAAGTAAAGCGGGGGTCTTGAAAAAGGGGCGTGGATTAAAAGATAAAGAATCACACAAAAGTGGGAGTTGTCACGTTCCCTTTTTGCTGATAACTGTGCTCTTGGGAGATTCGAAGAGAAGTTGGAGATGGGATGTTTTTGGGGTAGGGTGTGAAACGAAAAAAAATTTAAAATAAAAACAGGAAAGAGTAAGGTTATGGGGAAAACAAAAATTTGGGTGATAAGAGGGGGTTGTTGGGGGAGAGATGGAGGAAGTGAATTATTTAGATTTTGGGAGTGGGCGTCAGTGAGGGGCCAGAAGGGTGAGGTAATCAAAGAATTGATGGGGAAAAGGGGGAGTGGGGCCTTAGACCCGTGAGACAAAGAACTTTTTCCTTTGGAGGTAAAAAGGGGAATGTATGAGATATAGTTTTACCAACCTCTTATATGGGTGTGAAGCATGGGTGAGAATTTGCACAGGAAAAGGGCTGGAGGCATGGAGATTCATGTCGGGGGGCAATTGTGGTGTGAATATAATGCAGAGAATTCGTATTTTTTTTTGGGGAAGTTAGGAGGAGGGGCGGGATTCCAAAACTGTTGTCCAGAGGGCTGAGGAAGGGTTGTTGGGTGGTTCAACATGTAGAAAAAAGGAGCGAAACGAAAGACTTCAAGAGTGTTCGTCTGTAGGGAAGGAAGGGGGGGTGGGGGTTGGCCAGGAAAGGTTGGAGGGGGGGGGTAAAGGGGGTTTTTTTGTTGCAGGGGCTTGGATTCCAGCAGGCGTGCGGAGCGGTTTAAAGGGAGGAATGGAACGAAGGGTTTTTAATACTTGATGTGCTTTTGGAGTGTGAGCAAAGTAAACTTTTAAAAGGGGTTCAGGGAAAAACCGGCACCCGGGACTTGAGTCCTGGAATGGGAAGTACAGTGCCCCTCTAAAGGGAGGTGTTTAATTTTTGCATTTTAAAAAACTGTAGTGTAAAGCACCCTTCGGGCAAGACAGTGATGGAGTGAATAGGGGTAAAATTTTTTTCTTTTTGGGGCCCACCCCCTTGGGGGGAATGGGCCAGTGTATAAAAAAAATATAAAAATAAAAAAAAAAATAAAAGAGGTAAATGTTTTTACAAATTTTTACAAAAAGGACGTAATGAACTAAAAAATAGAACAACAATAAACGCATTTATTTTTGCCTGATCAATGATTTCCCACTACCTGTTCATTTTTGTTCCTACATTGTCTCAACTCTGTATCTCGTTCTCTCTCTCGTTTACTCTTTCGTTAACTAGTTGGCTCTCATTGACGATGGCATCTAAGGTTAGCTGTGATAAAAAGAGAAGTCGTAAGCCCCTTGCTTTAAGTACCAAGTTAGAAGATGATGGTGTGCCATTCTAATTTTATTCAATAAACACCCTGCCACTCACCTCTCACACATTAATATTAATATTTTAAGGTAAGTAATAAGTGTACTCTGTGTGTATCTTACCTTTTATTGTGTTTTTAATGAGTATTTCTATTGCTAACTTAATATAAGTTAGTGTAAACTTGTTGTCTGGCATTTATTGCATATTTTATGTGTGCTCTGATAATAACACTTGTGGAGCTGTGTGGTAGCCGGGCGGAGGGACAACATTACGTTTTCTCTGCTCAGCCATCAGAGAAAACATGTATGAATCTGCGTTTGGCCCAGTCACTCCCTCACTCCAATTTTGTTTACAATTTTCGGCATGAATTATTCATTACTTCCACCTTCGTTTATGATGGCATCTAAAGGTAGTTGTTAGAAATGATTAAATTCAGTGAACAAAGTATGTCGATGTTAATAATATGGCTCTGGGCCACAGTGTAGGTAGCCAGTAGGTGTAGCCCAGGCAGGCTACACCTACCGGCTACCTACACTGACTTCCTACAAATAAATACGACTCACCTCTCTTCCTATATTAAGACTACACATATTTTAAGGTAAATAATGAGTGTATTGTATGTGTGTTTTAACTCTCTGGGATGTTTTAAATATCGTATATTAAGTATGAGACGGGGAGCCAGGGCTACCTACACTTGGGCTACCTGCACCTGACTTCCTACAAATAAGTACTACTCACCTTTCTCCCTACATTAAGATTACAAATACTTTAAGAGAAGTAATGAATTTACTGTGAATATATTTTACTTTGTGTGTTTTTAATGCCTAGTTCTATTACTAGCTTAATATAATTTAGTGTAAACTTGTTGTCTGGCATTTATATGCATTTATAAATGGAAAAAAATGGCGTTCTGCCTTCTGGCGATGTCTGCTTTCCAGCGACAGCCTGGAACCTAACCCGCCATATAAGTGGGGCCCTACTGTATTCTTTGATTTCACTGTTATTGCAGTATACACAATTCTATTTGAATGCTGCTCTCTTTAAAACTGTCTAATACTGTACTCTGTGCATATCTTCTGCCTTACAAATAACTATAACCACATCAAGCTCTCGTAAAAAGATCGTCCATATAGTGCAACTCTGTAAATGCAATTGAAAAAGTGCATTCACCCAAAATATGCACTATGTAGAGGAGCTTTATAGCACAGTTGAATATATTTCACCCCATAATGTTAGCTAACATTGTATTAATAATGAAATGGGAGGCACTAATAAATAGATCTTCTTGGAAGCACCTGGAGAATCCATGGGCACACAGATGAGGGATTTGTTCCGGTGCGCTTGACCCTGAGAAGTGTTTGCCAAGAGACACATCCAGTCAGCCTGATATGCGTTAGTGATCCACATCTTCTGACCGTTGATAATGTAATCGTCCCCTTGCCGCTTTGCTGTGGTTTTTATGTTTGCCACATCAGATCCTGCACTAGGTTCGCTGACACCAAGGCAGGACACCTTATCGCCAGAGATGCTTGGTGCTAAAAACTGTTCTTTAACATAATGACTGCCAAACCTGGAATAAAATTATTATATATTGCTAATGGACAAAATAAAACATATGCAAAAAAAAAAAAAAAGACAAAATATTTATGGAAAAGCTTTACGGAGCTATTATGAAAATGTAAAGTTCACTGGTTATAAAAAGATAAAAGCAGGACACTAATGATTTGGAAATATGCTATTGAGGGAACAAAATAATAATAAAAGCATATACAGAATAAAGTATTTACTTCCATTACTGCAAGATTATCATATTAAATACATGTATTGTCATAGAAAATAGTGTTATTGTACTCAAGGTATTGTTTCCTTTTTCCAGAAAATTTAAAGGCTGTACAGCAATTATACTGGAGAGACCCACTGTACAGTGCTTTGCTTTACAGAGTTTCGTTAATGCAGCAGTTTTAAATTATACCCATTTGTCATTTATTCAGATTTCCTACAATAAATATATTCATCACTTACTTTATGCTAAGGGCAAGAATATTTTAACCCTTTCGGTGTCTGTCCCATTATATACAGTGGACATTTATTGGAAAATGACATCATTTGTTTACTTTTGAACATCAGCAAAAATCAAACATTTTCCCTACATTGAGCTTCTTTCAAGGTTCTTTTCATAGTAAAACCAATCAAAATCACCTCTATTTCTATAATATGTTTTCCATTCTATCAAATAAGACCAAGAAAATAAGAATACAACCATAAATACTATACGAAAATAGACCACAAAGTCGACATTTTAATTAAAAAAAATGGTCGGAGTTTTTTTTCCTCATTATGCACTGTGCTGCAGGATTTTTTTTAAATGGTTCACACTGACCACACAGACCCATTCTCTCACATGTGAGCCTACCAGCTTTCTCCTGCTTGATTTGAAGCCGCTAGAATTTATGAGTACAGTGGACCCCCGCATACTGTACGCATCGCATACCGTACAATCCGCATACCGGACGCTTTGATCGCAAAAATTTTGCCTCGCATACCGCCCAAAAACCCGCTCACCACCCTCCATCCGAGACGCGTCCAATGTGCGGCCTGAGCCACGCTCACATGTTCCGCCGGTGGCATTGTTTACCAGCCAGCCTCCGCGGTAACATCCAAGCATACAATCGGAACATTTCGTATTATTACAGTGTTTTTGGTGATTTTTTCTGGAAAATAAGTGACCATGGGCCCCAAGAAAGCTTCTAGTGCCAACCCTACAGCAATAAGGGTGAGAATTACTATAGAGATGAAGAAAAAGATCATTGATAAGTATGAAAGTGGAGTGCGTGTCTCCGAGCTGGCCAGGTTGTATAATAAACCCCAATCAACCATCGCTACTATTGGTGGTACAGCTGCTGCTGCTGCTGTACCACCGTCAGCTGCTGCTGCACTGTCAGCTGCTGCTGCTGTTGTACCACCGTCAGCTGCTGCTGCTGCTGGAGCACCGTCTGCTGCTGCTGTAGCATCGTCTGCTGCTGCTGTAGCATCGTCTGCTGCTGCTGTAGCATCGTCTGCTGCTGCTGTAGCATCGTCTGCTGCTGCTGTAGCATCGTCTGCTGCTGCTGTAGCATCGTCTGCTGCTGCTGTAGCATCATCTGCTGCTGCTGTAGCATCTTCTGTTGCTGCTGTAGCATCGTCTGTTGCTGCTGTAGCATCGTCTGCTGCTGCTGTAGCATCGTCTGTTGCTGCTGTAGCATCGTCTGTTGCTGCTGTACCACCGTCAGCTGCTGCTGCTGTTGTACCACCGTCAGCTGCTGCTGCAGTACCATCTGCTGCTGCTGTAGCATCGTCTGCTGCTGCTGTAGCATCGTCTGCTGCTGCTGTAGCATCGTCTGCTGCTGCTGTAGCATCGTCTGCTGCTGCTGTAGCATCGTCTGCTGCTGCTGTAGCATCGTCTGTTGCTGCTGTAGCATCGTCTGCTGTGCTCTGTAGCATCGTCTGTTGCTGCTGTAGCATCGTCTGTTGCTGCTGTACCACCGTCAGCTGCTGCTGCTGCTGTAGCACCGTTGTTGGTGTGGTTTATTGAGAATACCAAGATTAAAATGGTATAAAATACCGACAGGTTGTTAGGTAAGACACATATGCAACAGTTAGGTATCTTTATTATGAAACGTTTCGCCTACTGTGTAGGCGAAACGTTTCATAATAAAGATACCTAACTGTTGCATATGTGTCTTACCTAACAACAGAATACCAAGAAACAATTAACCCCAGAGGATTTGCCACCCAGGATAACCCAAAAAAGTCAGTGTCATCGAAGACTGTCTAACTTATTTCCATTGGGGTCCTTAATCTTGTCTCCCAGGATGCAACCCACACCAGTCGACTAACACCCAGGTGAACAGGGAAAAACGCCTGGAACTAGTGCTCATATTGGTGAATTTAAAGCCAGCAAAGGTTGGTTTGAGAGATTTAAGAATCGCTGTTGCTGGATCAGTCAGCTGTTGCTAGATCAGTCAGCTGTTGCTGGATCAGTCAGCTGTTGCTGGACCAGTCAGCTGTTGCTGGATCAGTCAGCTGTTGCTGGACCAGTCAGCTGTTGCTGGATCAGTCAGCTGTTGCTGGACCAGTCAGCTGTTGCTGGATCAGTCAGCTGTTGCTGGACCAGTCAGCTGTTGCTGGATCAGTCAGCTGTTGCTTAACCAGTCAGCTGCTGCTGCACCACGGTCAGCTGCTGTTGCACCATCAGCTGTCTCTGAACATGACTCGTCCTGAACCTGTCCCGAACCTGTCCGTCCAGCCTGAGCGCCTGCCTTGCCGTCAGTGTTTACAAGCCAGGGTGGCCGGTTGCATGCATACATTCGATACATTTTGTATTATTCCATTATTTATAGTGCTTGTAACTGCTAAATAAGCCACCACGGGCCCAAAGAAAGCTTCTAGTGCCAACCCTGTGGTAAAAAGGGTGATAAATACTATCGTACCACAGTCAGCTGCTGCTGCACCACAGCTGCAGCTGCACCCAGCTGCTGCTGCACCATGGTCAGCTGCACCACAGCTGTTGTTGTTGCTGCACCACCATCAGCTGTATTACTCGAAGATGTGGAGAGTGTGTTGTTGGTTGTGGCCTAACGTGAAACAATTACCGAGAGAAACAATTAACCCCGGAGGGTTAGCCACCCAGGATAACCCAAGAAAGTCAGTGCATCATCGAGGACTCTAACTTATTTCCATTGGGGTCCTTAATCTTGTCTCCCAGGATGCAACCACACCAGTCGACTAACACCCAGGTGAACAGGGAAAAATGCTGGAACTAGTGCTCATATTGGTGAATTTAAAGCCAGCAAAGGTTGGTTTGAGAGATTTAAGAATCGTAGTGGCATACACAGTGTGATAAGGCCTGTTCTGGAAGAAAATGCCAAACAGGACCTACAGTACTCAGGAGGAAAAGGCACTCCCAGGACACAGTGTCTCATCAGTCATTGCTGCATCTTCAATAAAGGTAAGTGTCATTTATTCTTCATTTAGTAGAGTAGTACATGCACAATATATATTGTGCATGTACTACTCTACTATTGTGCATGTATCCTTCTCTTTGTGTGTAGAAAAATGTATATTTCATGTGGTAAAAATTTTTTTTTCATACTTTTGGGTGTCTTGCACGGATTAATTTGATTTCCATTATTTCTTATGGGGAAAATTCATTCGCATACCGAACATTTCGCATAACAACCAGCCCTCTTGCACGGATTAAGGTCGCTATGCGGGGGTCTACTGTATATATACGTCAAAAACGGTGGCTCGTAAGACGTATATATACAACCAAAACAGTCAAAGGGTTAATCTTTAAAAAATTATTTTTTGTCAATACTTTTGGCTTTCTGAAATGGATTAATTGGATTTCCATTATTTCTTATGGGGAAAATTAATTCAGCTAAAGGCAAAATCGGCTAAAGGCTAGCTCTCTGGAACGGATTAAAGGGATTACCCAAGGGTCTGTCTGAAAACAGACTGAGCCTTGAATCCCCATTCTCTGGAGAGACGTAGAATGAGGGGAGATACCATCAAGCGCATAAGTGGATGATGGGCATAAATAAAGGTGATATTAATAATGTACTGAGGGTGTCGAACCAGGTAAGAACCAGAAATAATGGATTTAAGTTGAATAAATTTAGATTTAGGAAGGACATCAGTAAGTACTGGTTTTCAAACAGAGTTGTGGATGTATGGAATGGTCTTCCAAGTAGGGTGATCGAGGCTAGGACCCTGTGTAGCTTTAAAGAGAGATCGGACAGATATATGAGTGGGAGGGACTGGGTTTGATTGGTGTCGTAGGTACAGGAGTAAATTCTTGGGTAGTTTTGGGCAGTGGTGGTTTTGATAAGGGCCTGCTTTGTATGGGCCAGTAGACCTTCTGCAGTGTTCCTCAATCCTTATGTTATGTTTTTGGTTTAAAACAGGAATTTTGCAGTGCATTTTTGTATGGTTTTTATGGTTGTATTCTCAGTTTCTTGGTCTCATTTGACAGTATGGAAGAATATTACAGAACTAGAGATGATTTTGATTAGTTTCAAGACTGAAAGTAGCTTGAAATTGAGATCAAAGTAGTGGAAATGTTTGATTTTTGCCAATATTCCAGAGTACACAAATAAAGAACAAAAGATTTTATTTCTTTGCAGAGGGTACAATGTGTAATTACAATCTTGATTTGTTAAGTACAAAGAAAGCCACTATCATGCCTGGGAATTTCGGGCAGACTAATCCTAGTACATAATAACTAAAGTCTTGACAAGATAAAAGCAGTTAACTTTTTTAATAAATCTTCATTTTATCTTAATACAGTGGAACCTCTACTTGCGAGCGCATCCACATGCGAGTTTTTCCAAATACGAGCAGTCGATGGGTCAATTTTTTGCTTCCATACGCGAGCAAAATTTCCATAAGCGAGGAGACGCTCTCGATCTAGGGAATTGTATCTCATTTGTTTGTTGGACTATCTTATTGAAACTTGGGCAATGTATGATGGAAAGATGCCTAACGTAATAATAATAATAATAATCCTAAGTACAGTGGACCCCCGCATAG